CAAAGCATTCATTCAAAGGATATATAATAAGTAAACATCAACCCAACAAGTGGATCAACAATTCAATAGAAGGCTACTTACCAATTGAAAACCTTCATTCATAGCCATCAAGGCTTTCTTCAAGATTCAACCCTATTTTCTTGATATTCATACATCATATAGGATAACTTCATAATACATTAATGAGTTTCATAATAACATACTAGATTTTCATCCTTCAATCATCATTCAACACAAGCTAGGGTTTAGAATTGAGAAAGAAAAGGGAAATCATGGGTCATGCGTGGAATTGTTCAGAAACCATAAGTGTTACATGAATTCATCCACAAACATTCATATATAATCATAATTAACCATTATAGATCAATGGAATCAACTGTAGAAAGAGACCTGCGAATTGGGATTGAAATCTACAATTTGGGGGACTTTGAAAACCACTTTGGAAGGACCTCTTGGGGAAAGGGATCCCAAGAGTGAAGAGCAACCATACCTTAGTTAAACTCTATGAATTTCGCGTGCAACCTCCCATCTACAAGCCCTTGATAAGCTCCTTCAAATTTCCTCCATGGAGTCTTGAGTTGAGAGAATTTTGAGAGAGAGAGAATTTTGGGAGGGAAAAGGAGTTGGGCTTTTATTTGGGTCTTGGAATAATTGATTTAATTGGGTGAGTTTTGGGGTTAAAATGACTTAAATAGGGGTCCTAGGCTTGGGAAAAATGAGATATCCTTGAGTTAAAACAATTGGGAAAATACCCAATAAGTTACTTGCTGGAAACTGCCGAAATGGCATCATTGAAGCCTTCACGGACCGTGATCATCACCACGGACCGTGAAACGGGTCGTGAAGATTTTCAGCCTGACAATGCTTCACTATTTCGGACATAACTTTTTACTCCGAGATCGGAATCGGGAAAACTCGGTGGCGTTGGAAAGAGGACTCAGATACCTTGCATTGGATAGGTAATGGACCACCAAATTCATTTTGAGCTAAGAGATATGACCATTTGAAGTTGACCCTATACTCTAGTCTAATGGAGATCCCTTCACGTGAGGCTCCACGAGCCGTGGTGCCTCTCGTGGTCATGATACAGTATCTAGGAAACCTTCCCCGTAAGCCCTAAAAATATAAGGCACCACCACAAGCCTTCCCACGAGCCGTGAAATGGCTCGTGTGGAGGGGCTGTTTTTGGGCAGCCTTTGTTTAGCCACTGCCTAGCCTACCACGAGCCGTGGTCCTAATCACGAGCCATGGTGGTGGTCGTGCAAGGTGAGGCAGTGTCTATGAAAGAGTGGACTGCCTTAGTGCTCTTCCTTGGCTATAAACCTCAAACTTAGCCCTCACTTAGTCTACTAGTTTCCGGACGACTTGGTCGTTTCTTGATGTTTGACCTCTAAAGTCACCAAACTAACTTCAATAGCCATTTTTAATCATTTAAACATGTTTCCAACCATAAACCAACATGTGAGGCTCTAGGTCAACCTACTAGATTCAGTCAAGCCTTAGCTAGGTCTTACTAGTTTCCTACGGGGCGTTACATTCTATTTTCACTTTTCCTCCTAATACAGTGCATTAAGGATTTGGGATCAAAGCTAACGGTATCAATAAGAAGGGATTTCGCTTCATTATGTGGGTTAGAACAAAATCAAGGATAAAAAGGCTCAATTGGGCTATACTAGGGGTATTCTTTCTAAACAGGCTACAATTCAAGACAATTCAAAGAAAGCTTGTTATCATTTTTTAAGCACAATAACACTTGTATTTTGCTTCAATAACAACCTGGGCAAGTTCTAGACTCAGATGCATTCATGGATATCATCTAAAACTCACCACTTATAACACAAGTTATACTCATAATGGATCAGTCACATCACACAATCATATCATGCACAAGGTTCAGATTAAGCTTAAGTTTCACATTCAAATCATATACAAGAATTCAACTACATTCATACATCAATTTCAACCATGCTTTTCATACATATTCCTTTTAGACTTTCAACTTCAACATAACCAAACCTAAGACTCAATGACAAAATTTACTTTAAGACGGTCATCATCCATCTATCATTGTGCAGCTTGACTCAACTATGATTACAGACTCAATTCTATAAAGAAAAAATATTTTTGTATCTTGTACGGTTCAAAGGGACTATCCTTGGCCAAAGAACCAAAAACAACCTCCAAGGAACCCAAAATAAAATAAACCAAAGATAAAACAGACTCAAACAATGTTCAACAATAGAAATATATGTATAGATCATATATGTTTGTCACCCTCACCCCACAGGTATACAATAACACTGTCCCTAGTGCTTTACAAAAAAAAATCAGAATAACTCACAAGGTAAGGTGAAAACACTCTCTGATCAGTCTTTCATCGCATTGCCCCCTTTGACCTCATCATCCGCCTTTGCGGGGTCTATCTCCTCTTCAGAGTCAGAATCCACATCTGAGCTAGTACGCATGTTCTCCTTATCATTCTCGATCGGCTCCTGAAACTCAAGACCAATGCCAAGTAGTGTCTTGGCATGGTCATTCAGAGGGTAACACCTCTCGACCTCGCCTAACTGCACATCAGTAGAATCATGGCAGCCATTCAGACCCCTTGTTCCAAGTAATATCCACCGGTGCTGGATATAGGGGTGCCATGTAGTCTATATTCTCCTCAGGGACATCTGCAACATACATGTGCCCTTTGTGAACCCAGGCGTTCCACATAGAAGATTTCATAATGGCTCCAATGTTGAGCTTCATGCCAGTCATCAATGCATATACCAAGCACACCTAGTCACGAGTGATATCAGTGTAATGTAGGCCCGGTATCAGAGAGTTCAAAACCACCTTCAGCCAAACAGTGTCCCCCAAAGCATGTGAGCGTTAGGGAAGAGATTGATGATATCTCTTCCCACTGTGCTTAGTCCATTGCGCCATGGACTATGGCCCACAAAGAGTGCGTCGGATGGCTTGGTATGGATGGCGTATGATCAACCTTGTCAACACAAGTTGGTCTGTGTCCTGTGGTGTACCCAATATGTCATTTATACCTGTGGGAGTGATAGGTATATTTCTACCACGCACTGTCACATAGTGGGACCGTGCCTCGGGCGCCCAATTGGCGTAAAACTACCGGACAAATGTGCAAGTTGCACTCTTTTGAGTCAGTAGAGATGAACTCCATGCCAATCTCCTTAATTCGCCTTAGGATCCGGGAGAACTCACGCGCCAGGTTGTCCCTATCAATACAAACATCAGGGAAGTAAGTGGCCTCAGTGTGCTTTTTTACCAAGCCTTCCCTTCTTGGTTACAACCTTAACTCCAAATCACCTAGTTTGGCCCTTGGGGACTGGAGGCGCAAGTGGGACATTCTCACTTCTAGTATGTTTCTTCTGGCTTGACGTGGCCACTTCTTTGCTGGGTCATCGTGAACTTGACATGATGACCTGCAAACATAGACAAAGTTCAGGCCCAATGGCTACATAATAATGAGAAAAATATGGGTGGTGTGCGCATACCACCTCTTACTTAGCTCAATGTAGTGTCATCTTAGGTACTTAGACTTCCCAAAAATGACCAACAACATACTTAAGTAATCATCACGTTCATCAAACCGAATGGACATTACAATATCAGTTATAACCATGCAATAATTAGGTAGTGTTACTCAAGACTTCACACAAATAATCTAGACCCATGAATGTAGAATATCGTTAAGCTAATACCGTCAAGCACACTTACCATTCACATATTCAACACCAACATAATGTCTACTCAAGAATTCGACACTGTAGACCCTTAGCCGACACTACCAGTTATGGCTTACAGACACAAATAATCAACCATCATAATAGCACAAAATTCAAGTAAGAGCATGCAAAAGCAATTCCAACTCCCACAAATCCTCCAAGTCCACAGGTACATAACAATTAGGTAATTCTACTCAAGACATCGAAATCACCAACATGCCAAGAAACAATCAATCCCAACCTAAGCACAAAACAGTACCATTAGACAGCATGTTTATACATTCCCCAATTCACCTACTCCTCTAACAAGTTCCAGACAGGCAACCCCTAAAACTCCTTAAGTGATAACTACTCAAGAATTAGAAATCACCTAAAGACACATGAAAAACTGCCCTCACACAACAACCCATCAATTCAAACAATTTCCCTCCAATTTCCCACCCCAAATTCCTAAAACAACAGATATCTAGAGCAATAACAGAAACATCACAGAAGAAAAACTCAGAACACATACCTGCAGTCATAAGATCGGGGAAAATCGACAGGGAAGAAGGTTGCCTTGACTCCACGATACGGATGAAGGTTGGAAAATTGAACGAATGGCAGAATGGGGGAAGAAATCGTGATTTAGGGGAAAAAATTAGGAATTTATTAAAGACTTAAGGGGTTATAAGGGGTATTTTAATGAAAAATGGGTAAAACCCGTTTAATTAATGAAAATTAAAATTTACTTACCTGGGGGCGCGAGCGGGGCAGGCACGGAGTCCACTAGAAATTTAATTCCAGGCGAGGACAATAGCTGACCCTTGCTCCGCGATGCGGGACTAGCATTGAGTAGCCTTTTTTCTTGACATGAACACTAGGTCCCGTCAAAACCAAATTTGAGGCCCCCTCCGCGATGCGGTCCTTCACAGACCTCTCTGCCTCAAATTGGACATGGCAAGGCAAAATGTTTCCTAACCTCCATGACGCCATCCCTGCACGGAGTTGCCTTGGATGAAACTTCTACTTCCTACACATTTTCAGCTCAACACCCCTTAGTAAAAAACTTGATGGGTTGCCGCCCATCCAGCGCCTTAGTTTTGGTCGTGGCACGACACATATTTTTGTATTTTTCGAATATATCAATTTTTTTACTAATTCCTAAGAACTAAAATAACCAAATAAAAACAAATAAATCCTAACTATTGCAATGGTTCACGGGTTGCCTCCCGTGTAGCGCCTGATTTAACGTCGCGACACGACCCATCTCATGACTCATTCGTCATTCAATGTGAGCACTTCAAGCTCACGATCCACATCACTTCTGAAATAATGCTTGACCCTTTGACCATTCAAAAGGAAAGTATAGCTCTTATCCTTGTTACTTAACTCCACAGCACCATGTTGGGTAATCCTCACCACTTCAAAAAGACCACTCCACTTAGATCGAAGGTATCTAGAGAACAACTTCAACCTTGAATTGAATAGCAGAACTAGTTGACCAGGCTCAAAGGTGCGTGACACAATATGCTTGTCATGCCACCTCTTGGTCTTCTCTTTATACACCTTAGCATTTTGATAGGCGTGGAGCCTAAATTCTTCCAACTCGTGCAGCTGTGTTATTCTCTGCCTACCGGCTAACTCAGCATCTAGATTTATATTCTTGATCACCCAATATGCCTTATGCTCCAACTCAGCTGGTAGGTGGAAAGATTTTCCCAACACTATTCAATTAGGAGAAGTCCCTATTGGTGTCTTGTATGCAGTCTGGTATGCCCACAAATCATCATCTAACTTGTCAGCCCAATCTTTTCTTTGGGCATTCACAGTCTTTTAGAGGATCTGTTTGACCTCCCTATTCGACACTTCCACCTGCCCACTAGTATGGGGTGGTATGTTATAGCCACTTTTTGTCTTATTCCATATTTGGCTAACAAATTATGCATTGAATTATTACCAAAGTGCGTACCTCCATCACTTATCATAGCCCTTGGAGTTTCGAACCTGGTGAAGATGTGTTTTCGGATGAACTTCACAACCACTTTTCCATCATTGGATGGTAGTGCAACTACCTCCACCCACTTAAACACGTAGTCCAATTTGACTTGGATGTATTGATTACCATGGGACGATGGGAATGGTCCCATAAAGTCTATCCCCTAAACATCAAAGATCTAAAACTCCAGTATATTGCTCTATGGCATCTCATGCCTCCTCGAAATGGTGCCCATCCTCTGACACTTATCACAACTTTCCACACACAGAGCAACATCTTTAAACAGAGTAGGCCAAAAAGAAACTAGATTTCAATACCTTATGCGCAGTCTGTTTGCCTCTATGGTGTCCACCATATGGTGAAGAGGTACAACTCTCCAACATTTGTGTCGCCTCCTGCTCAACTATAGACCTTCTCATCATCTGATAAGGTCCCTGCTTGAATAAGAAATGCTCATCCCATATATAGAAGTGTGCATCATACTTCAACCTCTGCTTTTGATGTGTTGAGGCCCCAGGTGGAAATAAACCACTCACTAGAAAATTCGCAATATCAGTATACCAAGGCACTTGAGCAATGTCCAAAGCAAGCAATTGCTTATCAGGAAACTCTTCACGAATCTGCCCCTCATTATTCACATGAGTTGCATCCTCCAGTCTGGGCAGATGATTAGCTATCTAGTTCTCAGTTCCCTTCCTGTCCCTTATCTCAAGATCAAACCCTTGTAGTAGCAGAATCCACCTAATCAACCTCGGCTTGGCATCCTTCTTGTTAAACAAGTATCGGATTGCAGTGTGATCAGTGTAGACTATAACTTTGGTTCCTACCAAGTATGATCTGAACTTATCAAATGCAAACACTAATGCCAGCATCTCTTTTTCAGTCACACTGTAATTCGACTGAGCTGCATCAAGTGTCTTGCTCGCATAGTTGATGGAATGGAACATCTTTTCTTTTCTCTGCCCAAGTACTGCCTCAACAACTATGTCACTAGTGTCACACATAAGCTCAAAATGAAGCTCCCAATTTGGAGCAATCAAAATATGAGCTTCAATCAACTTCTTTTTCAGCAGCTCAAATGCCTGGAAACACTTTTCATCAAAGACAAACTTCGTATGTTTCTCTAATAGGCTGCACATAGGTCTTGTAGTCTTAGAGAAGTCCTTGATGAGCCTCATGTAGAACCCAACATATCCCAGGAAGCTTCTAACTCCCTTTACTGTGATGGGAGTTGGCAACTTCTCAATAACTTCTACTTTAGCCTTATCAACTTGCAGCTCACTTTTGGAGATTTTGTGCCCCAACACAGTGCCTTCTCGAACTAGGAAGTGATACTTCTCCTAGTTTAGCACAAGATTTGTTTCTTCACACCTGGCAAGAACTCTGTCAAGATTAGTCAAGTAAAGTTCAAAACACTCACCAAACAACGAGAAGTCGTCCATGAACACTTCAACAAAATCCTCCACCATATCATGGAAGATTGCCATCACACATCTCTGAAATGTGGCTAGGGCATTGCACAAGCCGAATGGCATGCGCTTGAACGCATATATGCCATACAGGCTAGTGAATGTAGTCTTCTCCTGATCTTCTGGTGCAATGATGATATGAACCATCAAGGAAACAATAGTATTCCTGACCTGCCAGCCTATACAACATTTGATCAATGGAAGGTACCAGATAATGGTCCTTTCTATTGGCGTCATTCAACTTTTTGTAGTCCATGCAAATCCGCCATCGAGTCATTGTTCTTGTGGGGATCAACTCATTCTTCTCATTTGTTACCACTGTCATTTCGCCCTTCTTGGGCACACACTGTACTGGACCTACCCATTTTCTATCAGATATGGGATACACAATCCCTACATACAACCACCTGATTACCTCTTTTCTTACCACATCCTTCATCAATGGGTTTAGTCTCTGTTGATGTTGTGCACTCGGCTTATGCCCTTCTTTCATGTATATATTATTCATGCACAACGTGGGACTAATTCAATGGATCTCAGACATTTGCCACCCCTAAGCTGCTTTCATTTTTTTCAGGATGATTAATGCTACTTCCACCTGTTTGTCACATAATGCTGCAGACAAAATAACTAGTAAAGTTTTATCTTAACCCAAAAATGCATACCTGAGGTGGGCTGGCAAATCTTTTAGCTCCAACTTAGGTGCATTTTCAATGGTGGGCTTGGGTGGAGGACCCAACACCATATTTAAAGGCTCTCATCGATCTCCATATTTACCTACAAGTGCCACATTAAAAGATTACACAATATCATATGCCTCAGCATCCCCATAAATATCATCCCCCACTAACACTCACTCTAGAGGGTCCTTAGATGCAATGTAGCGAGCTTCTGCCTCAAGATCTATCACAGTTATGGAAAACAACTCTTCATACACAGTTGGCAGTCTTAAAGCTTTATACACATCGAAAACCTTCACCTTATTATGGACCCGCATACTGAGTTGCCCAGCTACTACATCTATCATTTCCCTCCTAGTAGCCACGAAAGGTCTTCCTAGGATGAATGGGACCTCAAGGTCTGGCTTAAAGTTCAGCACAACAAAATCTGCTGGGAAAATCAATGATCCTCTACAACACCATCAGGCCTAGATACAGATCTATCAGCCAACCGTAAGATAGTGGTAGTAGGTTTAGGAGTACCCAACCCCAGCTATTTGTACAAAGAAGCCGGCATCAAATTTATACTAGCTCCTAGATCACGCAATCCTCGCGTATGAATGCTCTGCCCTATAGTGATCTGAACCGTAAAGCTACCCTGATCTTTCAATTTAGTGGGCAACTTATTTTGGATTCTGGAGCTGCACTCTTCAGTATGTGCAATAGTCTTATACTCTGTTAGCCTCATTTTATTCGCCACAATCTCCTTCACGTATTTTGTATACCTGGGTAGACCATGCAAAACATCTACCAATGGCAAGCTAATGTGAACTTGTTTCAAAGAGAGAGGAATTTAACAAAACATTCATCCTCCTTCTGTTTCTTGAACTTTTGAGGGAATAGAAGAGGTGGTTTCACAATTGGTTGCACTCTTTCTTCTTGTGCAACAACTTCTCCCTCCTTGGGTTCATTCTCTCTAGTCACAACATCAGTGTTTCTTTTCTTAGGAGCTAACTCCTTCAATTGTAAACCACTGCGAGTACCTACTACATTTACTTCCTTGGGATTTAGGTCACTGATACCCGGCAAACCTCCTTGTGGTCATGAGTTCTGGGCACTTGCCAGCTGCCCGAATTGCTTCTCCAGATTCTGTATAGCTAACTGATTGTTTCTTGCATTAGCAGCTAATTTGGCTTGATCAGCCATAATCTTTTTTAGCATCTCCTTCATGATCATGTTTCCAGATTACTGTTTAGGTTTCTCCCGCCGGCCTTGACCCTGGTTTTGATTTCCACCCCAAGAAAAGTTCGGGTGGTTCCGCCAACTTGGGTTATAAGAGTTCCCATAATTTTGTTGGCCTCCCCCTCGCTAGGCATTGCCTATAAAATTAATAGAGTCCAGGTTTGTACCACATACCCTTGCGCTATGGTCCCCACCACCGCAAATCTCATATCAAGATAGTGGTTGCTAAACAGCATTTACCTATGCGGTCTGTTGTCCCAATGCTAGTTTGCCGAAGTGGGTGTTCATCATATTCTGCATAGCAGCAATTTGTGTAGTCAAGGCAGTCACAACATCTACCTCTAACATACCTGCAGTTTTCTGAATCACAAGTTTCATTCCTTCTCCATTGCATTCAGGGTTTCCCTATGAGATCTTGTTCAACAAGGTGAATAGTTCAGCATATGTCTTCTCCAAAGCCTAACCACCTGCAGTTGAATCAAGTAGAATCTGGATGTTAGGCTTCAATCCTTCAATGAAGGTATGGAGAAATACCTCATTAGATTGATGATGATGAGGGCAGGTCATCAACATCAATTTAAACATGTCCCAAGGTTGGTACAACTTTTCTCCCACTATATGCCTAAAGCTCAAAATGTCACTCCTCAACTTAGATGTTTTTCCAGATGGAAAAAATTGGATGAGGAACTTCTGTGCTAGATCATTCCAAATGATAATTGAGGTCGCGGGCTCTGAGTTTAACCATGTTTTTGCTTCCCCAAGCAGAGAAATAGTGAATAAAGTGAGCCTCACATAATCCACATTCACTCCAGCTAGAGTGCAGGTATCACTGATCTCGAGGAAATTCTGAATGTGAACTGTTGGATCCTCGTGCGGCAGACCAGTGAACTGCCCATTAGTGTGCATTAGTTGCACCATACTTTGATTCAATTCAAACCTCCCACCAACTTCAGGTTTTTGAATACAAGATGTCACATTGGTAGGGTGTGGGATTGCTACGTCTCTTACTCTCAACTCAGCCATTATCTTAGGTTCTTCCTCCTCAACTCTTGCTGCTGGAGATGTTGGTTCACTACCAACAAGAGGGACTTGATAAGTAAGTCGTCTTAGCCTTCTCCGGTAGTGTACAAATCTTTCTGGTTCCGCTAGATGCGATACTAATCCTTGATCGTTGTCCAGTTTGAAACTCCAATACAACCTGCAACAATAAAATGCTAAGATCAAGTTGTCAACACTTGATTTTTACTTCAAAAATTAAAAAAAATCAGATAATTTCTAATTATAAAGTCCCCGGCAGAGGCGCCAAAAACTTATTGCATCCAAATCGCAAACGCAAGTGCACGTAGTCGTTCAAGTATTAAAGTGGCTCTTTGTAAGAGCCGGTTATCGTACCCACATGGACTTACACTTAGAATTAATTAACTTCTCTAACTTTCAACTAAACACAACAATATTTATGATTTCCAAAGTGATTTAGTTTCTACTTCTAAGATTATAACAAATTGTAACAAAAGCGATTCAATTTCAAGGATTTCAAAACAGTGATTGGGTAAAGTCCATGGCTGTAGCTTTTATCGGGATTCATGCAATCTATATCATTCATATGGGCATTTATTAAATATCGAATCAATGAATCACAAGGTTAAATGTATGATCATGGTCTCCCGACCTCTAATCGCCTACGATAAATAACACCATATCTACATCGTTGAGAGGGGAGAGGATAGATTACGTACTGAGTATTACGATTTCTTCCTGTATGGTGACCGAAGCATGGTTTCAAGGTATATCCCTATCCCAGATACAAATTAACCCTAGTTATTTAGAACTAACCATGCCCCTTATGCCCCATGTTCTATCCTCTTATTCCTTTCCCGAGTTCAATTTGGACAATAATTTTATTTCAATGGTGCGGAAAGCAAGAACATAAGAATGTTTCATATGATAATTAACATTAACCCAATAAAAAAATCAATAGATTATAATCATTATGTAGCCATAGACCTAGATCTATGGTATTTAGCTACTCATATTCCAAGAATCGATCAAACGATGTTCAAATAACATACAAAGATTGAAAGGAAAAGAGTTTAGGAAAGAACCCTAAAAATGGTGAAAACGTTCTCCCAAGTCATCGTTCTTCCAAACCCAAAAAAAAGAATAATTAATAAAATAAAATAATGACCTATTTATACTAAAAGTTGAAACGGCCAAAAACTGGAGAAAAGGGGGCGACGCGGACAGGTTTTAAATATTTCATTCCAGGCACAATAGCCTCCTCCGCACCGTGGACATTCCATGGAGTGCTCTACCTCTAACTAAACTTTCACGAATAAAATAACAACCCTTCTCTATGACACGGAGAGTACACAAAGGGCTCTGCCTACTATTGACTCTCGTGAGTTAATTTAAGACCCCCTCTCCGCGACGCGGAGAGGATAGGGGAGTGCCTTGATCTTCTTTTCTTCTTCTTTCTTCCATGCTTCTTTTTGCCTTTAATCTTTTGTGTTCCCCATTGTCCATTTTCATACTCGTTTCTCCTCTTAAGCTTACCTACATAACTAATCATGTTCGTTAGCTCATAAACAGACAAAAGACTCAATAAAACTATAAACGAGCACATATTAAATTCAAACTAAGCTGAAATGGGGGCATAATTAGCTTTCTTGGCAAATAAATAAGCCTAAGATCACTTGGCATAGTATTGGGGTAGAGGAGAGAGAAAATTCTTCATCGTATAGACTAAGTGAGCAAAGCCTTAAATATTGCTCAAAAGAATTATATTGTGACTGAATAAGTATTGGTTGTTATGGTTTTTGCATATGAGAATTTTAGATCATATTTTCTGGGCACTAAAGTCATTGTCAATACTGATCATTACACGTTGGGGTATCTGATGGCTAAAAAGGATGCAAAACCGAGACTTATTAGATGGGTGCTTTTGCTGTAAGAGTTCAAATTTGAGGTGAAGGATAGAAAGGGAACATAAAATCAAGTTGTTGATCATTTGTCTAGATTAGAGGAGGAGGCTAGGATTAAGCTAGAAGATGGAGTTGAGATTACTAATGCATTCCCTGGTGAGCTGGCATTGGCTGCATCTTTTGACCTTATTCTGTGGTCCACGGACTTTGCTAATTTTTTGGCAAGTGATTTGGTGCCTTCGAAACTGTCATTTCACCAAAGAAAAAAAATTCATGTCTGATGTAAAGAAATTCTTTTGGGTAAAGCCATACCTATTTTGTGTTTATGTTGATCGAATTATTCATCGATGTGTGCCTAAGGTTTAGATGATGAGTCTACTAGAGGCGTGTAATATTTAGACTGCTTATAAAATCCTGCAATGTGGGTAATACTGGCCTACCATCCACCAAGATGCTCATGAATTCGCTAAGTCATGTGATCGTTGTCAACGAGAAGGAGTAATTTTAAGGAAGTAAGAACCACCAATGAAAGTAATATTGGTGATTGAGTTATTTGATGTTTGGGCTCTTGACTCCATGGGTCCCGTTTGTGAGTTTGAATGGGATGAAGTATATTCTTGTAGCGGTTGACTATGTATCGAAATGGGTGGAAACAATTGCACTTTCCAAAAATGAAGGAAAGAGTGTCACCGTATTCCTGAAAAATAATATCTTCTTCAAATTTGGTACACCAAGGGCAATTATCAGCGATGGAGGTTCTCACTTTTGTAATAAGTTGTTCAAGGAGTTGCTTGAAAAGTATGGTGTTCGTCATAGCATAGCAACTCCTTACCATCTGCAGTCTAGTGGGAAAGTTGAAGTGTCAAATAGAGAGATAAAACAAATCCTTGCAAAGAGTGTGAATGCCAACATAATTGATTGGT